AGCGGGCGCACTAATACTATATCCATAGGCTAAATGACAGACGTACAATTGGGAAGGAAGAATGATACGGATACATTATCTTTCACTAAAACTTTAAGCTAAGTATGGGCCGAACAGTTATCTACTATCAGCACTATTTTTGAGTCATCAGGTAAACCAACCGAATTCAAATGTTGCGGAGCCTCAGGTATAAAAGATTTTCAAACCAATCATTCTTTAACGCTTCTGTCATCCATGCTTTTTTATTTGCACGATATATGATGGGGAAAATAATTACTCCTTTAAATGCTCAAGGTCGTGCATTTTTTCTGATTACGAAAAGTTTGCACTTGTGCGATCCTCCAGCATTTGTGCACACTAAAATTGTTAGTATTGCTTTGGAATCTTTGACACCAGTTAGAGCCTTTTCTATAGAGGTTTCCAAGGTATTTCGCGGTACATATTGCCAGAAAAGACCAGTTTCATGAGCATTGTAAATTTGTTCTGGAGATAATTGTTCATTAGTAACAAGTTCAATGAATTCATCTGCAAATTGTTCAGCAGCTTCAGTATCACTTGAAATTAACATGGTGATTTTTAAGTTTGGTTAACCAACCTTTCGAATATGTGCACTCGTGTTTAAGTTCATTTCTTTATGAAATATTTTGGCTTGAGCCATTAGCAATGGACCCGTCAATAGTACACCCTCGCTGCAATGCTGTCTGATCCATTCAATCATCTCCTTGTCATGATCATCACTTATGGCATAACAAACACTTTTTCTGTTATTTATTGCAAGTGGGGTGTTGGAATCCACAAAAAATTCAAAAGTACCTTTTTCTTTTTTCTTATATACAGTTGACTTTCCAATGCCATACTCCTCGCATAATTTTGAGACAAATATGCCTTTATCCATTTTTTTGCAGCAATTCCATTTTTTGTTTAATGGACATCGAAACACGCTTTCGCTTTGTAGATCCTTTGGCAGCTCCAGAATTGGAAACTCTTTTCGACATAATTGAAAATTCAAGCTTAATTTTTATAAAATTGCTCTAATAATAACAGTCTGCAAAAAATAATAAGCTTTATCAAATTAGAAGATTAAGGAGCAACGTAATCTGCTGCATTAACTGAAATGCTTTAGAATCAGTAAAGATAATTTTAGCCTAGCTTAATAGCGTCTGTTATGCATTATTGGCTGTGTATCACAAGATTGGCGACGAAAGCCAAGTTGTTCCGCTAAATTTCGTCTTGCTCCTATTGCGTACTGAATTAAGCCTGAATTGTATTAGTTTAGTTTTTTACTATACTTATGTTTATTTCTTGCACATGCTTAAAACTAATCTGAGTCCTGAATAAATAAACTCCCACATATACTTTAGTCTTTACCTAGGGTAGATATTGCCCGGTGCAGTCTCTGCGGGTCCTAAATTCTGCTACAAAGCACCTTCCTAAGTTCTAAATTTTCGCCTACACTCTGGATCCCAGTGCTTTCCCTGAATTATAAAAACCTCTTATCTCTTAATTTTGCCGCTCAGTGCAGCTATATTCTGCCGCCACTTCTGGGTTTATGGTGAATAACATAACAGTTATTCTTAATTAAAATAGCATTAAATGTAATCTTTTGAATTATGAGTTTCATTATCAAAATCTATTTTTAGCATATGAAAGGAAATTTTTGTTGAATTTTTCCTCCTATCAACATTTCTTAGAGCAGCATTTAAAAATCTATAATCATCGCCAAGCGTAATGTTAGCATAAAAAGTTGCCATACTCTTGTTATTCAATTACTAATATAAAAAAAAGTTTAGACATCACTGCATGAGTTATTACTGAAGTTGTCATATATTGATGAACATGCGGTGATGAAAGCAAAATATAATAAATAATGCCTTGTGATGTCGGGGTCAGAGATATAAAATAGGTGAATGTTTCCATTTGAGATGTATGCCAAGTAGATATACTCAGCTACGGAGCCAAATTATTAATCTCACAAATTTAAGCTTATGTGATTTTTTTTCATAACAAGGTATTTTATTTAGTGCCTAAGTGGGTACTTTTCCGTTTCGCTGGCGCAAATCTTGCCAAGTAGATTTTATTGGAGACACGATACAGTATAAACATTAAAAATGTTAACAAATGTTAATTCTAAGAATTTTTTATTTTGAAGGCATATACATTTTAATATTGTTTAAAATTTTATAAAAAGCCAATAAATAAAGACAATAAGTTTGTAAAAAGACATTTAATTTACTATACTTTCATGGTTCAATATCCTGATTCGCCGGTTCATATCACTTGATCCCCTGATCTCACGTAAACTACGCTACAAAAATCTAATTCTCTCAGTAATTATCTACATTAATTCAAGTTAAATCTTAATTTGGAATACAAGTTTAAAATGCTAGAAATATTTCAATTCGTCTTAATAGCTTATTCAGAAATTATGTAAAACTGCAGTGTTTACTTCGCTAGTGCATTCTCTTTAGAATTGATGAATTTAACCCTTGACTTTGCCTTTTCTATATTTTTGCCTTCGGGTGGGCGGTGTGATTGCATCCTAATTGACTTAATTACCATGAATGGTCTTAGGGCATAAAATTTAGCTATCTTGTAAAAATTCTATGTAATTTTATGTACATAGAACCTATTAGAAAGTACCTATTGTTCTGTTTTCATTTTTTACATACACATTTTGCCAGAATTAAGAAATCCTTAATTTGCTTTAGATATCAGAATGATCATTTCAGTCTGCACATAATTTTTAATTTTATGGATGACCTTATCAAAGAACTTATTTATTATCATATAAAATCTAAAAATGACGCATTTAGGGTATTTGTTTTATGATATTATTGGTGCTCCTTAGATTAAAAACGGTACTTTTCCGTTTTCCGGGTGCGAATGGCCTTGGGGCATAAAATTGAGCTATCTGGTAAAAATTCTATGTAATTTTATGCCAGTTTTGAAAATGAGGCGTAAAAGGTTACCAAAGAGGATATTCCGTTTGGCATCAGTTGTACCACTACTGGCGCCTGCGCCGGCAAAACGGAAAAGTACCCCTATGTGAAATTAAGAATTGGAATTTTTAAGTGAAAATCTTCACCTGTTTTATTATGGAAGGAAAAATCAAAAGCATACAAAAAAAAAAAAAAAAAGTTTGTGGCTTTGAGGTCCGAATCTCTGACTTTATATTGTATCTACAAAAATCCCAAATGTGGAATTGCCAAAATCCCGATGAGTCTGGACCTTGTACTTTGTACTATGCTTATTTTCAGAAGAAATATTCACAAATATTTGAAAAAATTTGTAATTTTGTGTAAATTAACAAAATTTTAATAATATAAAGTATTATCACAGAACTATTAAAAATGCAAGATGTGTTAATTATTTTAATAATACAGTATAAAGTTCGTAATCCGGACTTGTCAAGACTTCGGCGATTCCAGATTAGGGGTTTTTCCGGATTATAGATCATCAATTTAAATCTGGTAAAATAGCATGCAGAAATTATACTATTAAAAATATGAAACCATAATTTATGAAACAAAAAGAAATTATGATCTAAAGGGTATCAAATTTTACAAAAATAAAAGGCTTAATATTTATTTGTTTACTTCATTAAACATTTCTTTCAATGTGCGCATTTGTAAAGCATATGCGCGTAATGTATTCTCTACACGCATGCGTAAAGTTTGTGGCTTTGAGGTCCGGATTATTGATCATTCCGGATAATGGATATCCAGATTACGGACTTTATACTGTATAATAAAAATTTTAAATGTACTTTCTAATTATCTTCAACCCCCTTCCTGGAAAGTCGCCAGTGTGAAAAGCAACAGTCATTTTCAAAATGTCAACTTACTAAGAATTCTGTAAAAGAGAATCAATCAATAAATTTTAAAAAGCAAGAAACATGCATAACAAAACACCTTTTTTTCAAGAAATCAAGTAAATTTTTGCACTGTTCTCTCCTTGTGCATAATGATCTACTTAAAACAAATTTGAAAATTCCGCAAATTCAGTATCCTATATTCTAACATTTTGCTTGCTCTTTTTCATATTATGTTTCCATACAATTCGATTTAAGAAGTGTAACTTCATGAAATACAGGTTTTTGCATTCTCTTCTGTTAAGCAAAATGCCATATTTTCTGCAATGCAGTTGTTTCTTTTTCATCAGCCAGTAAACTCTTCAGTCCCATTCAGATTTGTTACAATAAAGTTTACTTGTTACAACAAGTTTACTTAATTCCCTCTCTTAAAAAAAGAACACCAACCAGAAAAATGACTTGAATTTAGAGGGCACATGTGCATAGCTGGCTAGCTATATAAATACATATTAACAATTTCACGAGTTGCCAGATGAGTTGTAATTTGGCAGCATTGTGCATTGCCTCGTGAATACTTTTCGGGGAAGGGCACAAGATAATCATAAAGAACTTTTTAGATTTTAACCCACTACCCTTTATGAACTTATTTCCACAGCATAAAAATATTTTTGCTTAATATATTGCAAAGAAATTGATTGTTTACAAATTGGTTTAAATATTACTTAATCAGATTGAATATTTTATGAGTGACAGGAGGCAAAAAAGTGAAATAGGATAAATGTTAAATTTGTGTCTTCTAAAATAGAGCTCCGCTGAAACTTATAAGCAAGTAATAATTGCTTCCATGATTCTTGATATTGGCATTTAATCCACTTGTTCATTGAAGTATAATCTGATATTTTCTGTACATTGGTTCTCAGAAATTTTTGCTCCATTCTTCTTTTTCACTGTGTGTCAAAATATTCATCCTTCATAAAGTTTTTTTTTTTTTTTTATTATAATTTGATTGGCTGAAAAGCTGCTGTTATTTATGCTTATGTTACATCTGAACTTTTAATTTACTATCATTTTTGTTTCATAAGTAAGTTTTTAAATTTTTGTAAATTCGATTTGTATGTGAATCAACTCCAAAATTCAAGCTGTATCATTTTATATATATATACTTATAATGAATTTTATAATTTTACAGTCAGATCATATTTCAAAATTGGTGAAAATACCAGGTATAATTATTGCTGCAACAAATGTGCAAGCTAAAGCTACATGCATTAGTATTCAGTGTCGCTCTTGCAAGGAAATAGTTCCCAAGATTAAAATTAAGCCTGGTCTTGATGGTTACAACTTGCCACGGAGATGCAACAGGTAGACTTTTTTTTTAACAGTTCATAAATTGTGCTTATTTTTCCTAGGTCAAATATGATTACAAATATCTGAATGGAAGACTAAATAAGAATCTAAATTTATATGATATTGTTTGTAAGAATCCTTCCTTTTTATACACGAAAGTTCCTGAGAGTAGTGATATATATTTTCTCCCTGGCAGCATTACTAAAAGGTGGTGAATGATGATTCTTTACTCCCAGGATTTGGTAAATGGGGCCCCTAATCCCCAGTTGGCCTTTGAAAAGGGGAGTATATAAAGTATTTTCTCCCTCCTTTCAGCATGCCTTCGGGGTGTAACAGCACACTCAATGCGTATTCAAGAGGTCCAGGTTCGCATCCTGATCGCATTGCTCATTTTTCACATCTCCTTTAAAAAATCGTAATGATTCTACAATATAATTGATATGTTAAACACATTGTGTCATAACTGTAGTTACCTTTGTTTCAAAGATCTTGTGACAGTTGTTAACAATGGAGTTAAAACTATTGCATCATTTAGGAAAATTCCATTGTTTTTGAGATTCCATTGTCATTTTATGGCATTCTTTTGCATATTTTTTTGGAGGGGGACTGCATATCTTTAATTTGAAGTTTTCTGAAGCTTCTTTTTCCTTAACAGTAGTAACTGGCAATGTAAAAATCTGAATTCAGATTTGATTGCCCTTAATTGTATTCCTAAGATTGGCCTGGAAAAAGTTTCTTGAGCTGTCGTGCTATTGAGAAAGGAGGAAGGAAACTGTATTCCTGAATTATCTCTAAAAGGTCTGATTTTGCTTCATCTGCCAGAATTAATGAAATAGCATGGTTTGTAAAACTAGCTATTTTTGATATAATATTTGCAGTGTTTATACATTTAAATGCTAATTTAGAAGCTAGTCCTTTTTAAAATACCTAAACATGACTCTCCTTGGGCATATAGGCCTGTGGGTTTTTGCCAGGCTTCATCTTGCATACCTAATCTATCCTTTAAAATTCTTATATTCAGTAATATTAATTTCTTGCTAGTTAGTAACTGGAAATTGGAAGATATGTCTTATAATTATTTTATCTTTATTTTATTGTGAGATTTCTTTAATTTCATCATCTATCATCTCTTTCATTTCTACTATGAAATAATTTTTTTCTGAAAAATTAGCTCTTTTATCAATTTATTTTAAATCTCGTTCATTAACATTTCTATTTAACTTGTCTTCCTATCCTATTAACATATTCACCTTTAATTTAAATTTTCACATTTTCAAGAATATATTACTCATTTTCTGAAAAGAAACCTAGAGTCCTATTATGCTTGTTTGATTCAGCGTGACGTTTGTAAGAGGGCCTTTTGCCCAAGGAGAAAGATATCTATGTAGAGAACTTTCTGAAGGAAACAGACTGGTATTTACGTTTCTCAAGAGGAAAACAAGAAAAACACTCATGCCAAACCTGTTTACTATCAGGTTAATACCTTTATTAAACATGCAGCCTAATGTATATTTTGAGTTTTTGATCGCAAATCGTTTTCTTTCAGATATTGTAAATCTTCTTTTCCTTTCAGTATTAAATTCCATGAAGACTCATAAAATTTTAAATTGATCTGCTTAAAGAGACTACGAAGATTAACAACAATGAATTGAAAATAATATAAAACGTGTGATAATGAGATAGTGTTCTGTTAGAACCGGATTCAGAAATGTGTGAATGTATGTGCATGTATGTGTAAATGTATACACACACATACCTTCGTGCTTACATATATACATGAACACATACATTTCTGGATCCGGTCCTGATAACAGAATAATACTGAAAATGATTTTTTATCTCATTTTAGATAAATTAAATTGTTAATAATTAATTAAATTTTGAATTTCATTTTGTTAGTTGTTTAATGAAAATTACACAAGTTCTGCAAATGCTCAAGAATATAACACCCTTTTTTTAAATTGATTTCAATTTTTTTAAAATGGTACTCTTAATATATTTAGAGATTGAAAATTAACTATCATAATTTATTTTGGGAACATATTTCAAAAATTTCGTGGCTGATTTGCATTCCTCCTAGACATCATTTCTCACCCTTGTTCCAGCTTTGATATAGAGTATCCTAAAATGTCATATACAAACTTTGCTGTCTTTTCTGACCATGACAAACAAGTTTTACATGGGAAGTTGAGTCCGACAATCAAACTGTGTGGTGTTACAGCAATATAACATAACATATAATTGACAACATAGTTGCCCTTTTGGGACACCTTGTGTATATTCATAATCTAGAAATTCTCATATACAAGTATTGCATTTGTTGAAAATATGTAGGGATATTTGTAATCTACAAATTCTCATATATAAATACTGTATTTGTTAAAAATATATAGTAGCAGCGAGATTCATAAAATCGAAGTAAAATTTAACATGTTCCCTCAGACACACAGATATCAATTTTTTTTAAAACAATTATTAAAAATGAAATTACTAAAAACAAAATTACGTGTTGGAAAGCTAACAATTTTATTACTATTGAAATCTGCCATACAGGTATCTCTTGAGACAAACAATTCATAGAACTATACTCCTTGAACAGTATATATTTAAGTAAATAATTTATTTTAATTTTTGTCATTCTTATCAGTTATTTATAAATCATTGATTAAATGTGGAATAAATCATAAATTTTCTGGAATCCAAATTCTGAAACATTTTTGAATCCTTCATGTAAGCTTAATGTGTGTGTGTGTGGGGGGGGGGGGACTTAAGTAAAACTTTTTAAAATAAGGTGAAGTTTGGAATCTGCATTTGATGAATAGCAAATTTAAAAATGCACATTTGGCATGAAAGAAATGAAAAGCATGATAAAAAAGTCTTAAATTTTGAGTTTGATATTCTGAAAATAACTTGACATAATATATATGAATAATGTCTCACATTTCAATTAATAAATGAAAATCCAGCAGGTGTACTTGAATAATTCAGCTAGCAAACAAGTGGTTTTTATATATCATTCAAATTTTTTAATTTTGAATCTTTTCTAGCATTCATGGGATTTGAGTTTTTATTCTTCCCATATGTATTAGTAATTACATATATTAGAGTCTGGTAGTCATGGTGTCTGGAAATTGTTATCAAGCAAAGTAATTTAGCTGTCATTATGCTTGTTAAAGCAAATTTGTAAAATACAAACTGCAGAAGGTTATGCTGTGTCATTCAGTTTATGTACATATTAGTTATTTTAATAAAAGGTGTTAGCTACAGTAAAAATAGTTTATTAACTACAATTAAAGGAAAAATTCTATTGCTGCTGCCCTATTTAAAAATTCTTCAGTATAAACAATTCTCAGTCCTAATTTTTTTGCAAAATTTTATGTATTCAAAATACAACACTGGATATTTCTTAACCAAGTATTAAGAAACCCAAATTTCAGTTTAAAAATGAATCAAATATTGTTTTTCAGACATTTTTAAATTACACAGGCATGACACATTTCAATAAAAATTAAGTTCATTTTTATATGAGCTGCATAAAAAGAGAAGTAAATAAAAATGTTTCTCATAGCTCACTTAGATGAAATAGTCTTTGCTTTTATGAGTGAAATTACGTAAGATATCATTAACAAGTTTTCAGTGGGTAATTGGGCTTTATGTAAGTGTTGATGAAGATAGCCGTAGATTAAAAAATCTTAAATGAAAATTTCTGAATATCCTTTTTTTTCCTTACCTTTCTTTGAATGTTAATGCATTTTAATTTCTTTCAGAGATTAGAAGAATGCTAAATTTCAAAATACAGGGTTCGTACTGTCCTTAAAAGTCCTTAAATTTTTCAAAAATGATTTTTGGTCCTTAATTTTGGTCAAAATGAATAAACGGTCCTTAATTTTGCTCATTTGACATTTCTTATCATTTCTAATGATTGCCATTATAAGTGTGAAATGCGCTTTCTCATGAATATGGAATTAAAATTACAACGGCTCTTAACCAATCTGTTGGCGGATTTGCGTTGCAAACAAAAAAAAAACAATTTGGCTATCCTAGGACGAAAGTATCGGTGTCTGATTGGCTATTCACCCAATCTTCGAAACAGTTGTGTTATCCATAAATTTATGCAGATTGTGATGAAAGCATGAAGCCGGAAGTCTTTAAGAGGCGAAAGTGAAAGTGATGATGAAGGTGCTCGAGAAAAAAAAGGGTGGGGGATTCTGAAAATATTTCCCAAAATTAGAAGCAATTCCCAACCTGGAAGGCCACAACCCCTCCGACGCCAATAGGAACGAGATGCCTGGAAAGTGCATTTTCAATAAACTGTGGCCTTCATCAAGCTGACTACAAAGACTGGATATTGATGGATGACAAATCCTTATAAAGCTAAATGGGCGGTCTTTGTCTGAAACAAATTGAAAATTTCTAGAATGGGAGAGTCAGCGCTGAAAATTTCACATGAAAGCTTAAGTTTCGTTTTATCATTTCAATTTATTTTTACATGGTTTTGCTTACCTTAATTTCTGTGTTAGTTTGAATTAAGCCATAAATTAATTTTTGATGACCTTCTACGGAGTTTATTCTCTTTTGCACATATATGTATGGGATATAGGGATTATAGTTTATTTCTGCGGAGGGTTTGTTATCGATTTTCGCGGGAAATCTATTGGCTCCATTTCGATTTTAGGTCACCAAGGGCAAATCGGTAACGCTAGCCGAAAAAAGTGAAGTTCGGAAATACATTTTGAAGCTTCAATAGACAATTAGTATTTGGTTTAATCCTATGCACAAGGTATCCGTTTCATAAGGGATTTGGCTACTTTTGGCAACTTATGATGAGCAGTAAACGGGACATATACGATGAGTAGTTAAACGGGTCATTTTGGTGTTGGCGATGATTTTCAAAATTGCACCAAGGCTGCACCGTATCTAGAATTTTATTAAGTATTTTTATATAAAGGAATACTGTTTTTCAGAAGAATGTTATTGAATTTTAATATCGCATCAGTTATCCAAATAGTTGGTCGATATAAAATTTCATTGTGATAATGATTGAAATTATCTTTTGTTATTAAGCTAATTTTCACCTATTTATAACTAGAAATTAAAATAAAAGCTAAATCCTGAATAAAAAGTCAGTGCTGAAATGATAAGGAAAAAATAAAAGAAACGGAAGATTAATAAATTAAAAGAAAATGACCGATAAGCGGAATGGCTGCTACACGGAGAAAACGTGTTCATGGTATTGCCATAGCATTCTTATGGCAATTTTAGCGATGTAACGGAATCTGTGCAGGAATGCTTGCCTAAAATATTTCGCGATGTCGCAATTTTTTATCGATATAGTACATTTTTTAAGTGTTAATATATAGTGTGTAAGAACAATTCATACATTTTTGTTTAACAATAAAACCAATTATTGCAGAATTTTTATCTTTGCTCCATCATCTGATAGATAAAGAAATAATGTTTTAATTAAAATTTTCTGCTGTGAAGTTCTGCTGTTACCGATGGTTGCAAAATGTCCCAGCAGTTGAAAGAGCCGTTGAAATATGGGATGACTTGCTACTATACGTTTAAAAAGTTGAAATGGGGCAGTTTAAAAAAAAATTCATTGAAATCCTTCTCAAATATTTTGGAGGCAACTAAGGATAAAACATTTCTTATAAAATTAAATTTTTTTCTCTCTCTGTCGAAAATATTATTGCCTTTCCTTGAATATTATCAAAGCAATAAACCACTTATTCCCTTTTTTGCTGAAGATGTCTTAAAACTTGTAAATGATTGCTTTTAGCACTTTAAAATCAAAAAATAATTTAAAAATTAAACTAGTATTTCAATGGCGTCTTAAGAAATATATAAACTTGCGCAATCTTGAAATCAGCGCGTACGCTAGATTTGGCGCGCTGTTAAATGGGCGCGTTTGCTAGATTTGGCGCTTTTGCGCCATTTTCGCTGCAATTTTTTTACTGCCCTCGAAACTGAATAGTACCGAAAATCTTTATAAATTTCATTTTAATGATCCAAATTGTTATAATGATAAAAGTAAAGTTTATTTGGGATTCATTGCTGAGCAGTTAATGAATGATAAATGCCGCAAGAAGGACATTTCACAAGCTCCAAGTTTTGCATTGAAACAAGGTCAACAATGTGTCAATATCCTTTCATTGCAATTATAATAGTAGTTGACTGTGTTTAAATAAATATCAAATAAGTTAAATAATAATCATGTAAATCTCTAAAATATCTGTGGCTGTTATTAGTGTGAAATACACTCATACAAGTTTTTCAAGAAATTATGTTCTTAATTTAATGTTGTCTACTTCATAACTTGTAGCGAGTTAGTTTAATTTTCAAAATTGTTTTATGTTAAGTATTAAATTGAATTTATTTAATAGTGCATAATACACATTTCTGTTAGTTTCTTAAATGGATAATTGCTTTATTCTATTCGTGTTTTTTTTTTTCCCTGATAGGTCCTTAATTTTTTCTTTGATGGTCCTTAAAAGTCCTTAATTTTCATGTAAGGAAATGTGTACGAACCCTGAAATACTTTCCTAGAATAGAAACGAGAATTATGCATATAATGAAGTAAAAATACATAGAATTCATTTATAAATTACAAATTTGTAAGTACCAAGCCTTAAGCTTAAACTCTGAATTAGATAACTTTTTCTGTATCACAGTTCCTCGTTTATTTGCATGTAATTCCCTTTCAGATTGGTAGCTTTGCTTAAGTTAGGTAGAGAGAGTCGATTTAGCATTTATTTGGTGTTCTGCTTGTGTAAATGGTGCAGCATGTGTGAGCGGATGTACCAGATCAGCTTTGGCAACGAATGTATTAAATAGCATTTGGCTTTTATAACATTTGTTTCATCATCTTTTTTGAAGAAATTAGATATTTCTTTCACTTTTGTAGCACTAACTTCTTTGTTTACAGTCACCTTTCATGAATTGATAAATCTTTGTCATTAGTGGAAAGTACATGATATGCAGAAACTCTAGGTGCTGTAATCCATGGAAATTCTGTAGAATACGAGTCTTTAAATTTCTGACTTGATAATTTTAGCCTCTCATCCTAAGATGGGTTCTGAGGATTTTGTTATTCACAAACTTTCTAGTTTAATCACAACACATAAAGCATGCTGCATTTTCTCCTCATAATATAAGTGAATGGAATCTGCAGAAAAGAATGTAAACAATGTATTTTATCCTATAAATTCTTTGCCTGCATGGTGAATAAACCTTCAGTGCATGGTGCTTGATTGAAAAAATAAGGGTTGGCATTTGCTGACCTATGAATGGTTATTCTTCAAAACCAGCAAGACCATCAACTTAACACCTGGTGCATTAATGTCACAGATATTTTGCCAGTCATCAGAGGAATAAATTTGTTCTATTTTGCATATTTTTTCCATTGCCTCTCAGTAAAATCTGTAGTTTTTATAGTATTTTCCATAGCTCATACTTTTTAATGAATTTCCATAGAAACCCCAGATAATCCATTGTTCTTGGAATATTTAGGCTTATAATTCCTTACTAAATGTAGTATTTCATCTCGATGTACTCTTGTCTTTGATATGATTTAAATCGAATTCCTCGTCATTATAATTCGCTTCTGATAGCGAAGAAAGTGACAGAAGTTATTGAAAACGAAAAAATTTCGATTGACAAATTAGTCGGTATTCTCGACACAGCAATTATAGGACTTGAACAGCGGAACTTTGTAACTGAACAAGAAAATTATGTCTGTTTATAGAATTAAAGAGAATGTATTATCACATAAAAAACGAAGCAACTTAAACAACTTACATTGAAAGAAATGTTTAATAAAGTAAACAAATAAATATTAAGCTTTTTTTTAATATGTGTATACTAGAATGATTGTGAGGCTGTGAAACTGGTGGGATGTTAACATAGAATTAACATAGCATTGTTGTCATCAACTGTGGGGAAGTAGAGAAAGTGACTGCTTACTAGAAGAAGCACACAGAAACCAAAACCTCTTAAAAGACAACAACATTTATAATGATAGTGGAAATATCCACTAATAGTCCTCAGAAAGGAGCTATAAATAGTCAGTTAGGTGTAGCTAGGATTGCAGTTTTGCACGGGGTTTTTGTTTAAAGAACTGACTTTCCAGTGGTTCAACCTCACTTCTCATGCACATAATACTGTTATTATATAATACAGTCAAAAGTCGTTAATTCGGACACCCATAATCCGGACCTCAAAGCAACAAACTTTCTGCGCATGCGTCGCGTTGACGCATGTGCGTAAGACCTTTACGGCTGCGAATACGCGTGTGCGCAAAATACGCTTACGAATGCGCGTTTAATGTATAACTGACGGTATAAGCTAAGCTAAAATTATCTAATTCAGTTAATGTTGCGTTTAAATTGCGTTGTTCCTTAATCTTCGAATTGGATTCGGCTTATTATTTTTTGCAGACTGTTAGAGCAATTTTATAAAAGTAAGTTTGAACTTTCGATTATGTCAAATAGAATTTCTGATATATATTTACTATATGTAAAAGGATCTACAAAGCGAAAGTATGTTTCGAAATCCATTAAACAAAAAGTGGAATTGCTGCAAAAAATGGATAAAGGCATATCCTTTATTTATCTAAACTTTAATGTTTGTGTACCTAAACTTTATCTTTAATGCTGCGGTGTGCAATGAATTGGAAGTTGATCTGTCAGCACTATCCTTATCTTCAAGGCAGATGTTTATATTTTAGTTGGCTTATAATTCCTTACTAAATGTAGTATTTCATCTCGATGTACTCTGTCTTTGATATGATTTAAATCGATTTCCTCATCATTATAATTCACTTCTGATAGCGAAGAAAGTGACAGAAGTTATTGAAAACGAAAAAATTTCGATTGACAAATTAGTCGGTATTCTCGACACAGCAATTATAGGACTTGAACAGCGGAACTTTGTAACTGAACAAGAAATTATGTCTGTTTATAGAATTAAAGAGAATGTATTATCACATAAAAAACGAAGCAACTTAAACAACTTACATTGAAAGAAATGTTTAATAAAGTAAACAAATAAATATTAAGCTTTTTTTTTTTTTTTTTCGTTTTTTGTTACCCTTTAGATCATAATTGTTTTTTCATATTTCATAAATTTACTGTTCATTTTTTAATTTTATAATTTCTGCATGCCATCTTACCAGATTTAAACTGATGATTTATAATCCGGAAAAATCGATAAGCCGGAATCGCCGAAGTCCCGACGTGTCCGGATTAACGACTTTTGACTGTATAATCAAACTTGTAACTATAATTCTAACTTATGTATTCTAACTAGTATGTATGTTTTGAATAGTACTTGAGTTCTGGTTATGTTGCTTAATTTACTATTAATTTTTATTAGTGATCAAACAACTGGACAGCCTCGATGCCCTGTTGATCCTTACTTTATAGTACCTGACAAATGTGAATGTGTCGATTTTCAACTTTTAAAGATGCAAGAAACACCTGATAATGTGCCACATGGAGAAATGCCTCGTCATATGCAATTGTATTGTGATAGGTAATACTAGTACTTTGGTGTAACATATGCATTCAGATATATAAATTATCTGTCTTAGGTTTCCATTTTTTACTATTTTGATGTAATGTGCAGTCAGATATTTAGATCAGCATCAAAATTTGAATTATGTTTTCTCTTCCCTTTTTCTTTATCTTTTTTTCAGCTATTAATTATTTAAGTATTTTTAAAGAGTATTTAATTTTTATTTTTTATCAGAAATTTGTGCGAAAGAGTTGTACCTGGCAATAGAGTCACAGTTCTTGGCATTTATTCTATAAAAAAAGTAGCACGAACAAAGGTATGACATATTAAATATTGTATTTTTTAGTTATTTTATAGTTGCATTATTTTTAGTATATCTTCCAAGCGTATAATAATATGAAAAATTTAATTCGTTTTTAAACTAGGATTTAATATAGTAATGTAATTCATTTAATGACTGTAGATAAAATATCATCTTCAATAAATTAAGATATTCTGTATGTAAATAGTTTTAATGCAGAGACTTCAGATTCAAAATTTATACAACATTTATTTTTATAGCTCCTAATAGTGATGATACTTGATAATTAATGTGAATTAATTTGTGTGAGTGTGAATAATTGTGAATTAATGTGGTGATGGTTTTTTAGTTGAAAGTTTTTTGTAGATAACCTTTTGTTGTTATGTACGTCTTAATTCATCATTTTTAGTCTACCAAGTTAAGACTCTTGTAGATTGTAATAATAGAAATACAATAATGTAGTAATAAAAATGTAATGAATAAAAAAGTGTGGCATAATAGTTGTTTATCACATTAAGAATTATTTGACCCATACCTTTAAGAGTTATGAATTATTCGTTTTAGAAAGGAGCATCAGAAAAGCCTAATGTTGGAATCCGCAGTCCTTATGTTAGAGTTGTTGGCATATCAGTCATGACAGAAGGGGCTGGTCGTTCTACTGGTATAACATTTACACCCGAGGAAGAAGAAACTTTCCGATTTTTAGCTAGCAGCCCTAATATACTTGACCGTATCACAAAAAGCATAGCACCTTCAATCTATGGTTCAACTGACATCAAGAAAGCCATAGCCTGTATGTTGTTTGGAGGCTCTCGGAAAAGGTATGTTTATTCTTTGTTCTTAAATAACTTCAAATCTTTTATTTCTTCAGCATAAAATAAAATAATTTTATGACTGCAGTTTAATACTTAATATGAATTTTTAGCTGATGGCCTCATTTTTGCTAATTAAATACTTTTATAATATTGTACAGCAATTTTAATGAATTGGGCCAATTTTCAGAATTACCATAGTAGATTTTAGGATTTAGGTTACAATAGTCAATTTGATTTAATCATATCATATATTATTCAAAATTGTATCTGTAATACATTAAGTGCAAAAAATGTATAGATTTTTTTTTTTAAAGATCTTGCAAATTATTTTGCAATTGGCATATGGAACAGAAAATTCTTCCCTGTAACCAAGTATAAGTTGATTCATACTCAGCTTTATTGTAGTTGGTCCACTTGAACAGATAACCTATTAATAATTGTCATGCAGTAAGCAGTCTGTGTATTAAGTATTTGGTACATTTATAGTTATGTTTATAAATTGATTATTATGTCATGATTAATGTTTCAACCTACACTTTGCTTTTTTTCATGCATATCCTCATCTTTGAATATTCTGCTATTGTTTAATATTTAATTAGGGCAGGATTAAGACTTTTAGAGGCCTTTAAGCAGTTGAAAGGTTTTGGGGCCTTCATATATATATTTAGGACAATTCCCCCCCCCATTACTTAGTTTTGGTTTAACAGCTCCATACATTCTATAGTAAAGCGGCATTGGGAAATTTTTATGTTACTCCCCTTGGTGATTTTCTTTCACAATGGTTGCTGTAACACAAAAGTCTAAAATTTCATGTAACTTCAATGTAGTATTTTCCTCAAAATAAGTAGATTTACTAAGTTTGCCAAATCTGTGTTTTTAAACTGCTTCTAATGCTATAAACTTTATTTCATATAACCATTTGTTACATTGTAAAACATTAAAATGTTCCTGCTTACAATGAATGCTCACACAGAATGGTAAAATAGTATGTAGTATATATTTGAATGTTTCACACAATAAACTTTTACCGCGTGCATTGTTAAATTATGACATATGATTAATATTTTGATAAATTATAATAAATAATATTAATATGCAATTATTTTTTTTAAACTTTTGTATTTCTTTTCTTAACAGATTGCCTGATGGTTTGACTAGAAGAGGAGATGTAAATATTCTCTTACTTGGTGATCCTGGAACTGCAAAAAGTCAGTTGCTGAAATTTGTTGAAAAAGTAGCTCCGGTTGGTGTAAGTAAAATTTAAATTAAAATATATTTGTATAATGTCTAATATATTTATGATTTATTTGGCAACTACTGGCAACAACTGACAAAACATTTTAGGGTTCATTTTTAAAATTTTGCCAAGTTGAAACATAGTCACAGTATTGAATACTTTGTTGTAAGAAAACTATGCATTTTTTTGTGAACTGAAAATACTTGATATGTATTTATATTCAGCATTTGTAACATCTAGGAAGCTATTGTATTTTCACTCTGCAGCAATTAAACCCCTACTGATTGTGAAGTGTGTAAATTAACCAATAATAATAATAATAATAATAATAATAAGCTTATCTGTTCTGCAAACATAGATATTAATTTTGCTTGGAGGAAGGGCAAATTTTTAACATTTTCAAGAAAGCTTTTGAATAGTTTTGAGTTCACTGTTCAAATATATTCTTCTACATCAATTTTGAACCAAACTTTCAGGTCTTTTTTAATTTGTATGTCATCTCATTCTTTATCATTTAAACTTTTATTTTCAAACAGATTCCGTCCTACTGCAATGATATTTTTGAATGGGAAATGAACAAAGATGACAGATCATATTCAGTAGTGCAGATGCATAAATGATAATTTTAAATTAACAGTAATTGTCTAATTAAATTGTAAAGTCATAATTAAAACTTATAGAATTATTGATTCAATAGTTAATATTATAATCCTTTAATAGAATAAGATAAGAAAATAATGTAGTAAATTTTGATGTTTGAAAATTTCTTTTTATGTAATTATTTAATATTTTTCTTTTCTGTGTAAATTCAGTTTTAATAATGTACCTTATATTTCATTATAAATGACTTTTTATTTTAAATTATTGGTATTAAATTTAATAGGTATATACTTCTGGCAAAGGAAGCAGTGCTGCTGGTTTGACAGCTTCTGTAACAAGAGATCCACAATCTGTAAGTTTTGGCCAAAATGTAATCATATATTTGGTGATTGGTCTAAGACTTATTAAGTAATGTAATAATACTTGTATTTAATAAATAGCAATGTAAATTGTATTGAAGTGTTAAATAATTTTATGTAAACTTATGGCAATTTCATCATAACCTAATTTCTTGTGCTAAAACAAAACATGTTTAAAATGGGGCAGCCCTTAAATAAATCAACACTTTTACAACACAGTTTTAATATTTCCGTCTCTATATCTACTCCCCTCTTCCCCCCCAAAAAAAGTCAGTTTATGAAAGATACTGTAATGACTATTTCAGAAAATCTTCCTTACTGGCAAATTGTTGGTAGTTGGTAAATGTTTAAGTATGGCATTCTAACAACACTGTTGAAATGCCATACTTACACATCAAGCTATAAACAACCTCTACCTCAATGGCCGAATGTTTAATAATGCTCACTATTGGTAGTTCAACCTGGGCTCAATTAAAAAAAAGGGGGTCAGCTGCGTATTTGGCTTTTGTGTAATGTGAATACAAATATGTTTTCCTTAAAAGTCCTCTACATGGGCTTCCTTCTCTTAGGCAGCTAGTGCTGATGTGCTTTACCATATTTGAATAACCTAATCAATAACACTGTTTTCCTGTAAAACAGATTGACAAAGAAATTGTCATTACCAAGTACCTGGGATGGAATTTCTTATATGTGATCTTGCAGCATATTAAAATCCAGAATAATTCAATACAAGCATTGTCAGGATATAACTAAAAAGACAGAAAAGAAAAAAAAAAAAAAAAAGTAGCTGATTGGACACCAGTTAACAAATGAGTTGAAGCTATATTTTCTACATGATTTCTACAATGAACAAACAAAATTTTAGACTGGAGCTTTCAATGCAAAGCTATAAGCAAACAGTTAATAGTTTTTTTTTGGGGGGGGGAGGGTGAAGGGTACCAAGGTTAAGATGCTGGTGAAGAAAGCTTAGAAGGGAATGTTTTGAAGAAAAGAAAATGCCTTTATTTAACGGTGATTACTAGCAATGTAAAAATAAATAAATAAATAAATAAAAAGTTCAGTTATATTTTTAACAGACATATTCCTTTTAGTTATGTAATAAAATTAGCATAGATATATGTGTATATAAGAAAAATTCTTACTTAATTTGTCTCTCAAATCTCATGTTTAATTTGGTTATTTCCTTTCTGTTTTAAAAGTAGTAACATGCTTATAATAAATTTATCAGAACTACATCGTTTCAAATTAATCTGTGTTGCATGATTCTTATATTAACTCATGATGCATATACTTATGTAATGGGGGGGGGAACTTTCTACCACTAATAATATTAAAATTTGCTCCTCTGCCCCCCAAATTAATTCATCACTAGGAATAAAGTTAAATCATAATTGTATTATTCTTTAACTTCCGTATTGTGATCCGTAAATTCTTTTCTTACTTGCCGTACTGTTAATATGTAATACATTACTTATTTTTATTTCTTCAAATATGTCATAAAGATGTGAAAACTAAAGAATGTGTGCACAGATTGCATTATTTTAGTTATGTAAAAAGTACTGAATAGATTTTGACTGCAAGTAAAACTTGATGCGCCAACTTCATCACATTCTGTGTCATCGACATAAAAATTTCTATTGCATTTATATATATGTAATGTTTAGAACCTAATATTGTTTATATATACGTAATGTTTTTAGTTATTCCAACACATCGTTGGCGAATGGTGAGGCTATTCCATTACACGTTCTGGCAGATGGTTGATGAAGCTGGGATAATTGAAGTACGGAGAAAAATGACGACTTCTTATTTCACTTTTAACAGCAAACATATCTTTATTTTATTTTATAGCAGATGATTTTTTCCAGATGGAGTTAATCAAAGAACTTATTCAGTAATTGAACAATTAGATACGACTAACTTTAAACTTTAATACGTCATAACGTTCTAACAAAGAAAGAGGAACATAGTGGAAGCGTTAGTAGGACGAAGGCGAGAAGGCATCTGTGTAGGAGAACTTATGACGCAGCATTTATATGAAAGGTTATGTAACAGAGTAGCTTCATAGTTATGGCGCTTGTTGTGACCAATTAAAAAGGTCCCCCCCTGCACTTGTTGATAATTAAAAGGTCTCACACTACGAAAACTTTGATAAGGAGTGGCTTGCACTGGTCTGGGATAATAGCACCTCGGAACAGTTTGCCTTGGGAGAAACAAATTGGTAATTACTATTTTCCTAGACCATCCAACGGCATCTGAACTGGAAACAGTTTCCTAGCAAGAGTAATCCAGTCTTTCTTTCAGGTGTCTATTTTTTGCACTGTTAACAGCATTCTTTGAGACTCAGGAAGTCCTTCCGTAAGTGCTTCCACCATTGTGGAATCTGTTAGTTTCAAGCTGGCTCCTAATTTCAACTTATTACGAAAATAAACATCAATATTATTAAATTTCTCGTATTTTAAAAAGACAAAATCACTAAAAGTAACAGATTCCGATGTTGTGAAGTATGTCTCGAAAATATCCTTTATGTTGTTCCAGTCTTTATCTAAACAATCACGTAAATAGAGGGCTAAAGCCTCTCCTCTAATACACTCTGAGAAAACAAATTTCTTTTCCTTTTCTGGAATGTTCTTTGCGGCACATTTCTCTTCAAACAATAGAAGATATTTGTCTATTGGAAAATTTGTACTTGTGCCATCAAAAATAGGGAATTGAAATTTCACTGTATCCACAATAGCTACGGATTCTTGCTTATCAGTTGACATTTTTGCCGTTTTGAGCGTGTTAGCATTCCAATCACAAAATCTTGAATTTAAGAGTTCGCATACACATCAATTTGAACACTAAAATCAATCACTTTAGAAGCACTTGATAAAACGCATAACTTTGGAGACGAGGGAAAGCACTTAAGAATCGCCGGAAAAGAAGCAAAAGCATCAGACGATCACACACTGTCCTTGACCCACTGTTGAATTTAGAAGCGCGTTAGAAATAAATCCAGGAGCTTTTTTCCCACGTAGAGGAAAATCCTAGGCTAGCTTGTCTTTCGCCCAGCAACCTTTAATACTTCGCATTCAGGATGTCCCCAACCCGTCCCTGAACTTCCCCTTTAATACCCCTCATATAGCGCTCATAAGTTTTCTACATTTTCAAAGCACTCTTTACTACCTCTATAAATGCTGCGTCATAAGTTTAACAGATGCTTCTCGCTCGTCTCTGCTAACGCTTCCGTATGCTCCTCTTTCTTGTTAGAATGTATGACGTATTAAAGTTTAAGTCAGTCTATCTAATGTTCAATTACTGAATAAGTTATTTGATTAACTCCATCTGGAAAAAGTCATCTGCTGTAAATTAAAATAAGTATATGCTTGCTGTCAAAAGTGAAAAGTCCTGAGTCGTAATTTTTCTCCGTACTTCAATCATCCCAGCTTCGTCAACCATCTGCCAGAACGTGTAATGGAATAGCCTCACCATTCGCCCACGATGTGTTGGAATAACTGAAAACATTACAGTTATTAATAAGCCGGCAGGATAGTTTCCTGCAGCCGCAAACCTCAATGGAAGAGAAGTTCGAATGCCTAGTGAAAAGGAATATTGAATTTGCTTCGCCGATCTCTACAGTATTTAGAAAAAAAGTGCTTTAAATCATCAGTGAATTACCGTTTAGGAATTAAGCATTACAGCGAGTTCAAGGTTGATCTGAGTTGGTGTTTGCAAGTATGTGTGACAGAAAGTTACTATTTGCACTTCCGCTTTTGCAACAGCTCAAAAATTATTACATTCGTGTGAATCTAGCTCAGGAACTAAATTATTTAATGTGCGGCGGATTCTATAGTTTTCATTTCAACTTTGGTTAAAATTTCTGCAATTTGTTTTGAGAAAATCTGAAATTCTTGTCATTAATTTCTAATTTTTCATAATTATGTGTGAGCAAATTAAGTAACGAATTTTTAATCTATTTAAATTACTCATAGGGAAGATATTAAGATAAGTTTTTATGTTTTTTGAAATTTTGTTGAGAATTTTGAATACAATTTTATAATTATTCTAAAAATGAAGTAGGTGTAAAAAATAAGTGAAATTATTACAGATAGTAATATGAAATTATGGTAAATGCATGTTAAAATTTATGGTTATTGTGTGTTAAGTATAGTATGATGAGGGTGTACTGGTTCCTTCAACAGAGGCCTGTAATACCTCTGTACAGTTGTTCCTTTTACCCTCTTCATGCAAGATAATGTTGGAGACTCTCATTTTATGAATGCATGTAAATTTTTTATATTATTATTATTATTATTATTATTATTATATTTTTATTATGGAATGTATTAGTGCAGTTCTCAAAGGCCAGTTACCTTAATGCGAGGAACGGAGCCTTTTCAAGTAACTGTCTAGGCACCCTGGGCCACCAGTGCAGAGAACACACTGGTTAGCTCAAGAGGACAGCCCTATTGATGGATATGTTTGTTTTAGTATTGCGGGCTTCCAGTTTGGTAAAATCAGGAATTGTAATGAAAGATAATAACGGTGAAACCATAATTTCTGAAACTGTTATCCTAATAATTTATTGATGTTAAAATATAATTTATCAATATGAAAATAATATCATAAATATTTATGTGCATTACATTTAATTATAAGTAATAATTATGTAAAGTTTATTTTGTGATATTCTGTAATAACAAGAACCTTCCCTGAAGAATTATGATTATGGGAATTCTCAACAAAAGACTTTTGGACTGAAATGCTGAAAAATTCAATAGGACTCAATCTAAAATTAAAATTTATTTTAAAAAAATTGATATTTATAAATTATACTTTACAGGAAAAAATTTTTTATGATTTATTTTTTTTTTTTTTTACATTTGCTAGTGTTTTAACTCTTTCTCTTTAAAAAGGCTTCTCTGTCGCTACGCCCTTTTTCTTTTTGAAGGGGGGAATATGTAAGATAAAAAATGTATGAATCAGAATTATAATATAACTATACATTAATTCTTCCTCTCTATTCTAAAATCGTAATAACTTATCTGCATGCGTCATTCAAATTAATCATGCGATCTTACGTAAC